AAAAAAAAAAAAATAAGACATCATCTCAATGGCCTTGGGGTAGGTAAAAACTTCTTAGGACACAGAAAGCATTAGCCATAAAAAAAAACCAAACTGATAAATTGGGTTTCAACAAAATTAAAACCTTCTCATCAAAATATACTCTTGAGAAAAAACAGCCAAGTCATACAGTGGGAAACAATATTTGTAACATATAAACCCGACAAAGGACTTAAATCCAGACTGTATAAAGTACTCCTATCCAATTAAAACGGACATAAAAACCATCTAACAAAAAAGTGTTCCTTATTAGTCATTATGGAACATTATGGGTACAAACTAAACCACTGAGATATACCACCTCATACCACAGGATCAAGGCTAAAATGAAAAAGATGGAAAATACCAAATATTGGCAAGGATTCTCTCATACATTATACTGGCAGGAATGGAAAATAGCACAACTGTTTTGGAAAACTGTCGGGCAGTTTCTTAACCCTTTGCACTCGGATGTCGAGCTGGACTCGACACGGTTAGCATCGGTAACAGGTCTTATGTCGAGCCACACTCAACACGAAGTTTCACTGCGGGGGAAGGGAGATTTTTGTCTATTTTTCCAGTATCTTTTCTTGTTTTCATTAGCATGAAAGGACAAGTAAAATGTAAATGCAGAGATGGTACACTAACTTCCAGGGGTAGATTATTATCCACTAACTTAGAGCAACGTTTAGATGGGAAGCTCCATATAATCACACCTCACCCTAACAAAAAACACAGATTGTGTTGTTTGTTCTAACAGAAAAATCAAAGGAGGAAGAAGAGAGATGGTTTATATTTGCGAAACATGTGAATGTAAACCAGGTCTTCGTGTGGGTGAATGTTTCAAAAAATATCACACCATGAAAAATTAGAGATTAAAATTGCTCTTTGAATGTATCAATAATTTGAAATATAAAAAAATCCAAATAAGTTTGTATGAAAAGAAACTCCAGTTTTTTATTCTACTGCCACGCTTTGTAAAATCTGGGGTATTTAAAAAATTAAATCCCAAGTAGAATAAAGGAATCGAGAAAAAAACGACTGCAAAGAGTTAAAAAGTTAAATATACATCTGCCCTAAGACCTAGCAATTCTACTCCTACCTTTTTAATCCAAAAAAATGAAAACATGTCCACAAAATTCCCTAAGAATATTTACAGCAACTTTATTTACAATAGCCCCAAAGTGAAACAGCTCAGACATCTGTTGCGGCAGTGTGTGCAGCTAGTGTCACAGCCCTTGTCACAGCTCTTACTCGTTTGACCGGGGAAAGAACAGAGCGGCACACAGAATCGGAGAACAGCCTTTATTCTTCTACAGCAGACTCAGCACACCTAGTGTTACAGCTCTCTTCATGTCTTCCTATGTTCTCCCAATGTTCTCCCCTTCCTGCCCTTCTGCCCCTGGTTTTATACCCTTGGTAGGGCTCAAGAAGCATCCAATCAATTACAAGCTTTAACATCCAATCAGCAACAGGCTTTAACATCCAGTCAACAACAAGCCTTAACATCCAACCAAAAACAGTGGGATTCAAAAATTACCCAATCAGGATCACGCAAGCAGCGTGGGCAGAAACAGGCCTCGGCAGGAGGGCCTGGGGCATTCTGGCAGGCGGGGTCCTGGCAGCACGCGGGTGTCCTGGGCGGCTGGGCGCTGCGGGCCGGCCCTAGCAGCGTGCCTCTAACTGGCCACGCGCAGCACTGGCCCCCGGAGATGCGGAACTACGGGGAGGCAGCAATCAGCCACGACCCGGCACCCGACATTTTCCATATCACATCCATGAACAGACGTATAGATACATAAACTGTGGTGTATTCAAACAGTACTACGTAGCAACAAAAAGGAACCACTCACTGATCAAAGCACCAGTGTAGATGAATCTCAAAGTCATGCTGAGTAAGAGCTAGAATCCAGAGATTGTGTGCTGTGTGATTCCAGCTTCACGAATTTGAGGGTGAGGAAAACCACCCGACTCTAGGGAGTGCAGGTTAAAGGAGTATGCATTTGCCAAACCTGGTTCCATTGTATGGATTTAATCTGCATATTTCATTATATGTAAGTTATATCCTCATTCCCCCAAATAGTTGGAGATTAAGGCTTTTCGGGTTAAGATTCTTAACCTAGCTATTTTAATTCTGCAACAAATTCAAGGTACTAGGTGGTTGATGATCTTGGACAATATACACAGTACTTGGCTATTTCTATTAGTCTAATAATTCAAATCTCTAAGTGCAAGCTTAAAATGTATTTAGGATTAGTCTGCTGACACTGTGGCTAATCATCTTTCTCCCATCTAAAAGTATTTATACTGGTGTCCATGGATTGATATTATCTCTAAACATGCTTAAGCCTCTGCGGACCGAGCCACATTCCACCCCCATTACAATGTTCAGGATTATAATTCACTTCCTAACATTCTGTAAGTGATCTTTCTAACCTTTTCTCTAATAAAGTTTCTTCCAAACTGAGGTTGGTTGGAAAGGCTTAAGAGATTCTGCAATTAGCATCTGTATTTCCTCTATTAAAGGCATTTCTTTCTACTTTCCATGTGAAAACAACACAAGAAAATTCAAATACAATTTCCCAATTGATTAAAATTACTTATACATTTTATATATTTCATAAACAACTTCTCATCACACTGAAATATATTTTTGAATTTTATTATAATTAAAACTGGATTTATATGAGTTTTAATTACATTTATAACTATATGAGTAAATTGTATAGTGCTGTTTAGTCCTTCATAAATTTGGTAATAGAGAAAATGAACATTAACAGCTTTAAATAAGTATAGAGCTAGGTGACAAGTCAGTAACAGATTTTATCTGATCTAATAATGTGAAAGCTCTTCATGCTCTGTTTATACCATATAAACCAAAAAAATGAAAATATACAAGTATATTCTGAGGGGCTTCTTAAAAAAGCATCAAATAACTAAAAATTTAAGGTACAGGCCAGGCGCGGTGGCTCATGCCTGTAATCCTAGCACTCTGGGAGGCCGAAGCGGACGGATTACTCGAGGTCAGGAGTTCGAGACCAGCCTAAGCAAGAGCGAGACCCCCCCCCCCATTTCTACTACAAATAGAAAGAAATTAATTAGCTAACTAATATATATAGAAAAAATTAGCCGGGCATGGTGGCGCATGCCTGTAGTCCCAGCTACTCGGGAGGCTGAGGCAGCAGGATTGCTTGAGCCCAGGAGTTTGAGGTTGCTGTAAGCTAGGCTGACGCCATGGCACTCTAGCCTAGGCAACAAAGTGAGACTATGTCTCAAAAAAAAAATATATATATATATATATATTAAGGTACAAAAGCAGCTGAGGATATGCAGCAAACTGCAAAGTAGCCAGCTAAAAGATATATTATAAAAAATCATAAGTATATTTTTAAAATATAAAGTTGGTTTTGAAAAAGTCCAAATGATTGTGCTTTTAAAACTTGACAAATCCATCTAGTACAAATACGTGTCATTCAATATTGTGTATTTTTTTTCTGGGTCACTACCCCCTATTTTTGTCAGGGAGAGATTTATACAAATTTGCTTAACACCATATTTTACTTTTTTCAAGTTACCCGAGGCCCAACATTGTGGCCATGGGTATTCATGGAAAACTGCCACCGTGGCAGAATTTCCTCTTCCCCTTTTTAGAGCTTGTTTAGAAATGCTAGTTTGCAGGAAATTATATAAATAAAACCAATTCAGTGAGAAAACGTGTAACAGTTTGAACCACCCAATGGGGTCTGAGCATTACCAGGCGCTTGGACAGGCACCCACAGCAACCTGGGTGAGATACAGACCACCGGTGTTGATGTCCAGTACATTCACACAGACTTGTGCATGTGTTCACTGCACCCACTGTAAAATGGGTGGTTAGGTGCTGTCATCTTCCTGATTTTGGCATTTGAGAAATCTTGCCCAGAAGAGTACTCTGTGTGACACCCTAATCCACCGGGAAAGGACAGGTCTGAGTTGTTCTTAAAGCAGAGCACAGGCAAGGGCGTGTGCAGGTGCACACGGCACACAGGTGACAGACAAGCTGGAGTAACACACACGTAACACACTGAGCCTAATAAAGGACAAATAAGGACTCTCAGACTTTTTATGTGAGAAGGATATTTAGTTACTTTCAGTTATACAGCATATACTTTTACATCTCTGTTTTTAAAGTAGGCCTTTCCTGTTCGCTGTGGGGGCCTAGATACAACTGCAGTGTTTAATCCTAATCAAAGTAACTCCACTGAGTATATATTAAGTCTTTTGGGGACAAAGTATCCAATGCCAAATTTGTTATGGACAAATATTTATATATATTTTGGCATTTATAACGTTTCCTAACATAGCTTGAGAGCTGCTAAGAAACTCAACGCAAGCAGAGGCTTGGTGGCAGGCATGGAAATACTTTCCATCTCCTCTACTCCGTGGCACTGTATTAACTTTGGGACCAAACCAGTATAACAGTATCTTTTCACTGACGGAAGCAACCAGTGTTGATCAGATCACACTGATACCTGCAAGTGACCAGAATTAAGTGATAAGTATGGGGGAGGGGCAAGGAAGTGGCTGTGGTGTAGCCCCTGAAAGAAGGTAGATGAATATGGTGTGATGAGGGAAATGGTTGAAAAGCTGACACTCACAACCAGAATAATTTCAGAGGTGAAAAATCACCACTTCTCTTATTAGTAACATTGAATAGAGAAAAAATTAGCCAGGGTTTTTCACTGATATGTTATAAAGCATTATACAAAAACAGAGACAAGAGAAGCCAAATCAAGTCACTATAAAGCAGTAATAAAATATAAAATAAGACATTATCAAACTATAATGAATGTTATTCTAGGTCTCAAAAATTTGGAAGATGTCTATTTAAATTAATATCTTGCCAAAAAAAACCTCCCAAAGTCAAAGTTATCAATTTTAGTAAGGGCATCAACACATATATAATGCAGATACAGATACACATATGAATAATGCAAAAGAAATTTACAGAGATGTAGTTTTGGCACTTTTACTTGGATTTTTTAAAGAAAGTGAATATAAATAATGTCTTTGCACACAAATTCTTATTCTGGAGAAACAGGATGTAGGATTAAAATGTGCAAACATTTCCCTTCTTCAAAATAACATTGAAACATATAACTGTACCTGTTTAATCTCCTGGTTGGCAACTTTATAAATCTGGCTTGATTCATCTAACTCCACAAGTTTGACAAAGTTGTTTTTGTTTGTGTAAGTGACACCTGGTTATCCACTTTCAGTACATGTACCATTTGGCCAGTGGTCCATAAATAATATTAGCATTTTCAATTCAATGTAGAAATCTTAAAAGTTCTAAAGGGAAATACTGCTCAGTAGATAAATTCTCCTGGAATTTCTTGTAGCAAAGGTTCCTCAAATTTAAATCGTTTGGAGATGGCCTTTTGCTCCATTTTCTCTTTTTCAGACTGTCTGCATTGTCCTAAAGTATATGAAGTAACTACAATTAACTCCTCTGTTACAATTGAGTCCTCAGTTTCTGGTTTGTCAGAATTAATTTCAGGCACAGAATCACCTTCTTGAAGGGCATTTGGTTCTTCTAATGCCTCTTTCACCTTGAAAGAAGGATCTTGAACACTGCTCTGTGTCAACCAGGGATGTCTTAGACATTCTTCAGCAGTGGCTCGGTCTCTGTATAAAGATACATATTTTACACTTAAGACAACACATTAGAAATTCAATTAAATTAAATTATAGCATAAGGTACTGTATTTATTGTATTACAATTTGGGAAGTATGAAGAGTTGGCAAAAATCTTATTGTGATTCCTGAATAAAGCTAGAGGGTTTGGAATTTGGGTGTAATTTCTCACAATGTTGAAAAATAATATATTAGATAAGGTATCTCTGAAAAAAACTCTCTTGAGGAACAAAGAACAGATGGAAAACATCTGCTAGGGATTAGCTATCGTTTCATTGTCAATTTATACTAATCATTATTACAAGTGCCATTCAATGCATGACATATTTGCAATAATACAATTTGCTAAATAATATTTTAATCCTGTTAAATGAGGTACAGTTCATATTTTCAAAAATATTTTCATTTTGGCCACTTTTTCTTTCAACAGATATAGTAAGCCAAGGGTCTCATCTAATATTATATCAACATATTTGCACTTTCATTTTGGTGCTTCAGTTGCAACTACTTTTGCTTGGAGCAGATTGATCAAAAACTGACAATGATCAATATTAAACTGATACTTACTCTGGTTTCTTAATTAAAAGTGTCTTAATGAAGTCAACAGCTGACTCAGATACAACATCAAATTCTTCCTCAGAGTAACTCAAATTCATCTGTGAGATGTTCAAGAATGTTTCTTGTTTATTATTGCCTAAGAAAGGCGATATTCCTGTAAGCATGACATATGTTAACACGCCAATGCTCCTAAAACAAAAGAAAGTGTAAGAAAAATTAGCACCATTCTCATTTCTTGAAACTAATTTAATAAATTTTTCATTAATAACACTTACCACATATCCGTTGCCATGCTGATAGGATCATAACTAAGAATTTCAGGAGCTAGGATCAAAAACAGGAGAAAACATTTAGTTTTGGGGAAAAATGAATTAACATTATAAATACAAATTCATAACTAGACATTTATAATTAATGTGTTTACTTTTCATACCTCCAACCTCCATTGTTGATCCCTAGTATTTAAAAAATATGTGAAGGAATAAACACTGCAATTTCTGACAGCTTGGTCTTCTCACACCCTCTAACTAATCAAGCATCTATCAGAAGGCAGCTTTTAAATCTTTCTCACCTATCCCATCTCTGCTTCCCTGATGCCCATCCTACCCATGATCTGTTCTTTATGTTGCAGTCAGAGGGAGTTTCTAAAACAACCACTCATTTAGAGTCAGTCAACAAGGTTAAAAACAACCAAAAACTGGGCATGCTCAGATGACATGCATCACAGACAAATGCATCTAGAGTTGAGAAAAATAATATGCTTTGATATAAACTGAAGTGCTGTCACACAGAAACACAATGGAAAGACATCTCCAACATGTAAGGAGTCAGGAGCAATATAAAAACTCTCCCTGAAGAGAAAAAAATCTCTCACAATCCAGACAACCAAAGATGATTTTTTTTCCAAAATTACACAAATGGGAGGATAAACTATGAAAAGGCAGGCAATAAGGTGCTGAATCCCTGGGAAAACAGACCAAAGACTAAAACAACTGTGGTAATTACGATTAAAAAAGGAATGAAAATATTCTAATTCTAGGAAAGAACACTCAAAGTCACATACCCATTGCTTTTTTTTTAGCGAGATAATTCATCTTTATTGCCTAAACTGCAGAGTGTTCTCTGCACAGCAGAGAGGAGAAGTGGGGCAGCAACAGACTTGTAGAGAGACAAGCTTGGAAATTCTTTCACAAGTCAAAGAGGTTAAGGCCCCGACCCAGTGAGATTACAGCCTTGAAACTGTGGACAGTCTGTCAGCTAAATAAGATGGAGCAACAGGACGAAAGGAAGGAGGAATCCCTAAGAACCATATGGCTTCAGAGCTCAGGAGAGAAGCGGCTGCACCTGTACAGTGTCTAACCAGGAAGCCTCTGCAGAGGGACAGGACTCGGGCCTTGCCATGCGCTTCCCTACTTAGGCTATGTCTTCCTTCCAGGCAGCCCCCAGCTCTGGGAAGGAATGCTGGTATCCCGCGGCCAGCGTCTGCTGTGGGATCACCTTCTGGCCCTGCAGCAGCAGGATGGCATGCTGTCGCCCAAAGACAGCTTGCACCACAACACTGGGAAGAGGGAGGAAGGCTGGGCGGCCCAGAGCAGCACCGAAGGCCTGGGCAAACACAGCACTGGTGGTGGAGGCTGGAGCCACTCTGTTCGGGACCCCTGCACGTGGTTTGCTTGAAGGGCATGGATCAGAATTCCCACCAGGTCTTTGATCTGAGTCCAGGGGAAGAATTGGTGGCCTGGGTCAATAGCGCCTCTCAGGCCCAGGCAGAAGGGCAGCAGCATATGGCCGATGGCACCACCCCCACGGCCTAGCGACCCCGCAGTGCACCACCACCTGCTGTGTAGAATCTCCAGGAAGCCTGGCTGCAGCTTCTCATCTGGCTATGAAGTTGGAGAAAAAGTCAAAATCCACTTCTGGGCTGTCCTCATCATACTCTGCTGTAAGGCTGGGCTGGTAGTAAGACCTGTGACTAAGATCCAGGCCTGGAGGGGTTGTGGGGCCTTGGTGATGGCTTTAGCTAGTATCTGGGTGGTCTCCAGGCAGCTGTTGAGAACCTCCTTTTGGAAGGCTTCATTCCACATGATCCAGCCTGGCCCAGGCTGTCAGGAGACCAGCGTCACTTCGTGGCCCCTGGCTTTCAGCAGCTGGGTTAGGGCTGGCCCAGTGAAGTCCATCCTGTCACCTACCTCCTGTGTGACTGCCACTTATCCATTACTAATTTGGGACAACCCCCCACAGAATATAAGAGAGGAAGAAGAGGTTGGGAAGGCAAGGCCAGGTATGCTAATCTGAATTTTTATTTCTGAAATGGTTGAGCTGAGAAACAGAGGTTGTGAATATTATTATTATTATTATTTTTTGAGACAGAGTCTCGCTTTGTTGCCCAGGCTAGAGTGAGTGCCATGGCGTCAGCCTAGCTCACAGCAACCTCAAACTCCTGGGCTCAAGCAATCCTGCTGCCTCAGCCTCCCGAGTAGCTGGGACTACAGGCATTCGCCACCATGCCTGGCTAATTTTTTCTATATATATTAATTGTCCAATTAATTTCTTTCTATTTATAGTAGAGACAGTGTCTCGCTCTTGCTCAGTCTGGTTTCGAACTCCTGACCTCGAGCAGGACGCACTCCTTGGCCTCCCAGAGTGCTAGGATTACAGGTGTGAGCCACTGCGCCCGGCCATTATTTTAAAACTTCAAAAGACGTGACTAGGAAGTTAAAATTGAAATGCATAGCACCCAAATTACTGGAGGAGGGAATAATAGAGACTGTACAGCAAGATTATGGGAAGAAGAATGTAGAAATAACAGTAGCTTACTTTTTTGAGTGCTTAGTATTTGCTGATTTAAGAGCATTATACAGCGAATCCAGTGTGATTCTTACCATTCCCTGTTTGGTTGGTACTGTTACTGGCCCCATTTTATGGACAGGAGTCTGGAGCATAAAGAGATTTAAGGGCCAGGTCTCATAGATGGCAAATCCAGAGCCAAACTCGCACCTGGTCTCTCTGTATGTAAAATGATGATGTGAGGCATAAACTCACCTATTAAAAGGTGAGTCAGGAAAAGGAAAAGTCCCTTTGTGTTTCTGTATCATATACTTCTGAATTATTTTTAGTTTTGGATCAACTTGTATTTCTTTCATAATGAAGAAGATAGTTCTGTTTTGGGGGCGAGAGGCTCTTGGTGGAAAATTTAGAATTTACCAAAGAACAAAAAGCATTAAAACACACAAAAACCCCACACTCATTAATATTTTTATATTTCAGCTCAGAGCCCTTCATTCTACAGTCTTCTGTATTCTACCTTACAATGCTACCCATTAAAAATTGGCTAAAATATTTGGGCTGCTGCTTTCCCTAAAGAAATACTATTAAGTCACATTCCTGAAACTTACTTAGTGGTCATAATGCTTATCAGTCAGCATATTGAAAATGAAGTATTTCCAGTCCATAAAAACCCCCAAAGTTTTGAAGGTTGTTTCTCTGCCTGTGGTGTCTTTTACTACCCAATTAAGGATCCGTTTTAAATTGCAGGCACTTTAAAACTATGAATTATTTTTTGTACTATCAGTGCCACACAGCTTTAATCCAACCCTATCGGCCCTCCTGTCTTTCTGTGTCGTCTGGAAAGCTCTTCTCTTATAAACCCCCAATATCTCAGTGCTTCGAGGACTCCTCCTTTCACCCCCTTCTCTGAAAGGGGCCTGCTCTCGCGACGCCCATCCCAGCCTGCGTGCGCACTCACACCTCTACTCTCAGGCAAAGAGGCTCTCCTCGGGCCCAGGCCACAGCCTCCTCTACTCCTGGCCATGCTGCTGTCATCTATGACACGACACCTGTCCTCCTCCTCTCCTGAGACCGCCACCAGCCCTGGCAACGTCCAGATGTCCATGACCCAGACAGCCCAGCATCACAGCTTCTTGCCCTTCTGGTCTAACAAACTGCCTTTCCAGAGCTATATCCAAGGCCTCATAATTATAAGGAGCTGTTCCACCACTGAAATTTTAAATGTTAATATTCTAATCTCTGGTCAAAACTTCTAAATTATTCTATGGCCTTATTCTACTATAGATGCCTATTAAAAAAAATCCTTCAAACTCCTATTTTTCTTCATCTATCAAAAAAAGTCATAGTTGACTTCTTTTGCTACCCAGCCTAGACCCACGGTGCATCACTTTAGCTGCTATCTTGCTGCTCCCTTCAGTGTTTAAGTTCCTTTTTCTTTCCACTGGAAGCATTCAACCTTCCACAGCTCTAACCAAATGCCTTCTCTGCTCCACACTTCTATGGAACCCCAGACTTGGCAATTCCTTTACCAATGTTTATCAACAGGAACATCCTTAATGGTTCTTACTTGTTAAATATCCTCCCACTCTCAGATAAGTTAATATCCTACTTGTTAAGAAAATACTTTCCTTTCAAAGTCTTTTAGACTTGCAGGGAAGGGATCACCAATTTGGTACCTTACTTTTGAAAGTTTTCCATTTTTAAATTTAATCCAAAGGAATGCATCTCTGATGGCAGAATTTCAAAATAGCAGATGGCTGACCCCACTATGAATCGTGCCACGTGTTAGTTCCCTAACGAAGGTGATGCCTGACCCCACACAAAACCATCCCACTCTCATGAACACTCACCCACATATTCAGGAGTACCCATAATTTCTCGGAGCTCTTCACTGTTCTTCATTATTCTTGAAAGGCCAAAATCAACGATCTTAATGTCACCCAATGGAGATTCACTTGTCAGCAGGATATTCTGAGGCTAAAAAATAACATCCCTCAAATCAACAAAACCATGATCAAGTACATAAAACATGTAGCTCATAAAACATAAATTTCACCTGTGAAATTGGGACTGAGGAATTTAACAGTAAACAGTAATTTGTTAAAGAAATGTATTTTCAACCTCTTCCCCTATATTGGCTTTTCCTCAGCATATAAAAATGCTTCTATCCCTATCCTAAAAACAAAACAAACCACTTATAGAAACTATCCTCCATGACCCCGAATCTCTTTCTAGCCAGCATACTCACTCCCTGCTATTCCCACAAAGCTTGATTTCTTTAAAGTATGGTCCAATACAATCGGTATCATTTCCCAATCCAGTTAAATCTGTTCTGCTCCTCTTTGAGGTCACAATAACTTTAACAACCTAAGACCCACCAAAGCCCCCAGATACCTTTCAGGCACTATTATGCATGCTACGGTTTCTGTGTAGCATTGCGCACTGATGAACATCCTTATGTTGTTGAAATTCCTTCCTTCATTTACTCCCTCTTGGATCTCTTCCTTCCTCTATAGATCCCTATTTTCTTGATTTTTTTCTTTTGTCCTTCTTTTAAATATTGGTGTTGTTCAGGATTTCTTGCTGCCTGGCCTTTCTCTTCTACCACTCTGCATTTTACTTTTTGTGCTCTGTCTCCTAAATTTTCCATCATTTCTCATACCTAGTGATCAGTCATATCAATTCCACTTCCTAAATCTCCAATTCAAGATCAGATGAGATTGGGCATGTTCATGGTGGCATGGCCGCAGACTCCATTTCCTAATTCTCAAAATCCCCACTGCTTAAAGTTTGGGCTTTCATTATTTCTTACCCAGACTACTACACTAGCCTCTTGTCTATAGTTTCTCCCATGTTCAACCCACCCTCCACTGTATAATATAATACTCTTCCCAGAACAAGTCTGACCATGTACTCAACTTACGGTTGTCTTGTTATTGCTCATTCCCAACATACACTCTCAAAAGGGGCTGGGGTGTGGGCTCGAGATGGACATGGTTATGGGCGAGGGCTACCCAAAGCCACAGAACCAACCAGGTTCACATCCCTGGAGTCATTTTTGCCCAGTGGAAAATAACCTGAGACACTTTTGTATAAAAAAGCAAGCTGATATACTATGGACTAGAATATAAAATTCATTAGAATCTTTAAAATATGGGATTTATAGTAAAATATGAAAGAAAAGTTTGTGTTTGCTTCAGAAATGGTCTGCACTTACTGTTTGCTGCCATAAAGAATCTATCCAATAATAAACTGAGAAGTATTGGTACCAATAAATTACAAAAACCTCCCTGCAGCACTCGGAGTGTTTTATGCTCCCCTGCCTCATTTTCAAGATTAATCTCCTGTCACTATTCCACTAGGCAGTCTGTGTTCCCAATCAAACAGTCTGTGATCCTTAAACAAGACAGACACTCTCACGTTTCATGTCTCTGCACATGCATTGCCTTTGCCAGGAAGCCCTCTCCCCTTCTCTCCCTGACAGATGTGTTTTCATCACTCATCCCATGCTGGGTGGGTCTCAAAGCCCCAATTCCTCTGGGAAGGCCTCCCTGGCCTCCCTCCTGCCTTCTGGAAGGGCTTGATGGCTGACCCCGCTCTGTGCCACAGCATCCTGTACACAGCAAACGTAACCTGCTGCTTTGTTAACTTTATTTTCCTGTCTCCTCCATCACACTTGTCCCCTAGAGAAGCAGTCTCCAACCTTTTTGGCACTAGGGACCAGTTTCATGGAAGACAGTTTTCCCACAGATGGGGAGTGGGGGGATTGCGAGTGATAGGGAACGGCTGTAAATGCAGATGAAGCTTCGCTGGCTTGCCCACTGCCCACTTCCTACTGCGTGGCCTGGTTCCCAATGGGCCTGGGAACCCAGACAGACGGGTCCTGGTCTGCGACTCTGGGGTTAGGGACTGCAGGCCTATAGGTATAAATGAATGTTCCCATTTCCTCTCCTTCCACTCATATTCTACTACCACTCCATGTGACTTCTGTCCTCTCATTCCACAAGTCACAAAATCCAGGGGCAGGAGTGGGTGTGGGCAGGACAGTGAGGGAAGTGCAGGCATCACAGGCTCCATAGGCCGTTCTAGGGGAAACGGCAGATGGGGACCACATCTTCTTTGTTAAATAGCTTCTGGCTACTTCTTCAGGAAAAAACCAATGCAGCACCATGATTATAAGTCCCCAGACATTTCAAGGTGATTTTAGTTTTAGTAGATTAGTAAAATACTATAGTACAAACTGTCAATTATTCAGGCAAATTCAGTGTTTGGCTAAGTGATACACTTTCATAATTAAACCTGTTTTGTCCTTTCTAGTACATATAAAATGTCAAGTGAAATACTGTTAAGGGTAAATCTTCTCCCAATCTTCTTGTGATTCACTTGTGATTAGTAAGCATGCACATTCTGTGAATGGCCTTAAATACCATTTGTTCCCTTAAAATAGTTTAAATGTTTTCCCTTTATATTTTGTTTATACCTTATATTCCTTGAGAAATGCTTTCTTTGGTTGCTATTCAAAAGCTAACTGTGGTTTGGTGGTAAGGTCAATCCTAAATTAGTGTGATCAAATTATTAAAATTTTATTGATTAGAACTCTAGGCTTAGTTACATGCATCTAAGATATACAGTGAGAGACTTTTTGAAAATGAAGTCAGAAAGTTGAAAGAAAGGACTTTGCATGGTGGCTCACACCTGTAATCCTAGCACTTTGGGAGGCCAAGGTGGGAGGACTGTTTGAGAACAGGAGTTCAAGACCAGCCTCATCTCTGCCTCCCTCAAAAAAAAAAAAAAAAAATTAGCTGGGCATGGCGGTGCATGCCTGCAGTCCCAACTTCTTGGGGGGCTGGGGCAGGAGGATCACTTGAATCCAGGAGTTTGGGGTTGCTGTGAGCTATGATCATGCCAATGCACTCCAGCCTGGGTGACAGAGTGAGATCTTCTTTCAGAAAAAAAAAAAAAAAGTTGAAAGAAAGGTTGCTAGAAAAAACACTTTTCTCATAAAATCATGAAATTTCAGTTAATATAGATTATGTGCCCCTTACCCCTTTAAATAAAAGTATAGTTATAGGACCATAATCTCTATCAGTTCTTTGATGGTGAAATATACCTACTTCCTGGTAGGTATACTTCCTGGTAGGTATACTTCCTGGTAGGTATACTTCCTGGTAGGTATAGGTAAGCTGAAATGTCCTGAAAACAAAGATAAATACCTCAGCGTTTACAATTGAGTTAAACCTTCTTTCTAGGGAATCCAGTTCATGATAAAGTTATGGCACACAATACCCACTTCTATGTAAAATGCATGAATCCTGGGTGGTAGGGGAGAGAAAGCAGCATGGCCAGTCAACAAAGAGGCAACAACAGTGAAATAAACAGGAAACCTGCAGACAGTTCTCAAATAGACAATGGCTGTAGGGAAGTCTTTCTGAAGTCTTACTTCCCTGCTTTGTGGGGAATCCTTTCATCTGTCTTGGTATCTTCATCTGTGTATATAATCCATTTAACATTTACTGAACAATCACCACTGGATAAGACGCAGTGGCTAAGATCATTGTAAAGTTAAGTGTAACCTGCTCAATAAAGCTTAAGGTATCATGGACGTTTTAAAACACATTCTATCAGGCAATAAAAGTTCTAGTAAATTAACTTTGTAATATTAAAACCCAGATTGGAGTAGAGAGATAAGTTACTAATCCTGTCTAAATTAATTTGGGGGACTGTTTAGAAATGTGTTTATGTTACCCCTGCTTTCAAGTAATACTGATGCTTAAATTACCAGTGATTCAATTTAAATCTCAAGTGGAAAGTCCCAGCTCCTAGTCTACTTTTTACTTTAAGTATAACAGGATGGAAAAGTTAATGATAGAATACCTACTACAGCTGTCCCTCAGCATGTTGGGGGCTGGTTCTAGGACCACCCCCATACCAAAATCCATGGATGCTCAAGTCCCTTATATAAGATGATGTAGTATTTGCTTATAACCTATGCACATCCTCCCATATACTTTAATTATCTCTAGATTATTTATAATGTCTAATACAATGCCTACATGTCACTTCATTTGCATGGATTCAATGTAGTGCTGGCATAGGATAAATTACAGTTTTGCTTTTTTGGAACCTTGTGGAATTTTTCCCCCGACTATTTTCAATCCGAGCTTGGTTAAATCCACGGCTGCAGAACCCACGGATACAGAGGGCCAACTGCACTAGGATTGCTAAAAAACTGAACCAGGAGAAGACTATTCGAGGAAAAAAGAACAATGGATTTTAAGACTGGACTTTTCTGTGCTATTTCTTGTCAATCCTCCCAATTGAAGTAAAAGGTGGCCACTTTGCTGAACGACTAATTCACCAAATTATTGAGATTGTTTTGGAACTTTCAGTTTTGTTATGACTTTGCCAGAGTTGTTGTTTTTCAGATTGTCAGTCCTGCAGCATTTCATATGTCAAAACTATGTTAATCATAGTTTGTCTTTTTTGTTTTTGTGGATTTATGGACTTATACTTTTGTGGACTCCTAAGTCTGCATCTGCTACTCCTCAAAGAATTTTCTGAGCTCAATCTAAGGTACTTGGCTAAGAGTTTTCAGTGAATTAATCTTCCATCAAACTGATCATTTGAGGTCTACACGGAATCCAAATAGTATATTTCCCATAGTGTCAACCGTCTCTTTAATGAAAGCAACTATAATTGTTACTCTAACTTCTAACTAACTTCCACCTCTGGGACAGGAATTTCTCATTTTAACCAGAATGGAGACTAAATAGCCTAATAGCTCAAAATTACCATATATAGCAGGATCATCAATCTTCACAGAATTAAAACATAATATTTTTAGTTTTGAAGCAGTGTGGGAAAATAATCTTTTTTTTTTTTTATAGCTTAGTCTTTCAAGCTTTTCTAGGGATGGAGAGTCAACATATAAGCATAAATTCTGACTGGACAGATGGCTGTTGAAGGTATACAACCTCCTCCCCATCCCCTCCCTCCAGCAGTTCACTTAGAGACACACAGGGAGGAGTGTGAGGGTGGAGGAAGGGCTGAGAACTCTTCCCATCACCTTGATTTCTAGTTCCTCTGGGGCTAGGAGATATGGGGAGTACAGTTTCCCACATCCAAGGCCCATGATCATTATCATCAAGGTCTCGATTAAATCTGGAAAGAATTCTATACCAAGTGTACTGGAGAGAAAGGAGAATGATTTATACTGAATGTATTGGGAGAAAGGGATATAATTTCCTTGTGTAAATACACAGTTAGACCTGGTATTCAAGAACTTAATATTCACCTTTGACTGCTTTCAAGTAACATCAAAGATACATGACACATGGTGTTGGCAGCCTGTCTGACTTGCTACTTAATTAGTTCTTGAATAATGGCCATAGGTTGAGCTGTCATAAATTGAAAGCTCATTTCCTACAGGTGCAATGTTATTTAAATTGGGGTTCTGTTCCTGGAAGTCCTTTTTATATTATACAAGTAGTAAAGCATAAAACATAAAAAATAAAAGAAATATATGGTTTTATAGAGCTAAGAGTATAAACTGAAATATGAAAAAAGCTACAGCATAGATAAACATTTCTTTTGGGAATTCTTCTGCATGGCTGATACTAACTGAGGATTCTCAAAGTAGGGGTCCACTGAAGTCTGGACTGCAGAGACCATCTCTTCCTGGTAAATGTTCCTGTGGGAAGCACCAGTGAAAATTTCTTGGAGCAAGCATCTTTGAACTTCTAATGCACGTGACACACTAAAGGGGAAAAGCGAAGCCCCAGTTCCCCCACTCAAGCTATGAAAAGTTTTTTTTTTTGAGACAGAGTCTCATAGAGTGAGTGCCATGGCGTCAGCCTGGCTCACAGCAACCTCAAACTCATGGGCTCAAGCAATCCTGCTGACTCAGCCTCCTGAGTAGCTGGGACTACAGGCATGCGCCACCATGCCCGGCTAATTTTATATATATATATATTAGTTGGCCAATTAATTTCTTTCTATTTATAGTAGAAATGGGGTCTCGCTCTTGCTCAGGCTGGTTTCGAACTCCTGACCTTGAGCAATCTGCCAGCCTCACCCTCCCAGAGTGCTAGGATTACAGATGTGAGCCACCGCGCCCGGCCTCAAGCTATGAAAAGTTTTAAGCAAGTGCTCTTCAGTGTTAACAGTAACACTTCAGCATTAACATCTGGGGACACATGTGGGTACGCATGTGTCTACACACGCTTCAAAAATTGTCACTGTAACTATCGTAGGGCTACTGCATTGTGACTGTTCATTTTAGCCACAGTATTAAAAAATTATCTTTGAGAAAAGATAAACTGTTAACCAAATGAATTTAAATTGGCATATTTCAGAAAAGAACAAGAAGTCTTCCAAATTGCTTTCTTTCCTGTAAAATAAAAATCAAAGTTTCAGGGCCACCCCCCACCTGCTTATGCAAAAGAGAAAAGTAAAAGCCTCAGGCACCAGTGAAGAGCTGGCCCCAGAGATCCTTCCTTAAGGAAATTTCTTGCTAACCTCCCATAAAACAAAGACATGCAAATTATAACTATGTTTAGCACCTAAAACTAAAGCCTGTGTCCACACTAATAATGAATCACAAGTTTATCTTACAGGTAACAGAATTAGAAACACACAGACTCAGATATTCTTTCACCCACCCAGGGACATCTACATAATAGATGTTTCCTTCACTCCCGTACTTTATGTAAAATGTAGATTTCCTGGAAATCTACATTTCCAGTCACAAGAACGTGACTACTATAATATGCTGAAGGTTCCAACTTCCCCTTTGGACAAACAGCCACAGCTTATCTGCGGTTTGTGTTTTTCCCAGGTGTATCCTCAAAATATTGGCTTAATAAACCTCCATGGACTAAGATTTTTGCCTCAGTTATTTGCTTGGGTTGACATTCCCCTGTGTTTTCTGTAGGAAACCAGTATTTAAAGAGATACCTATTATCCTTCCACCTGATTTCAAATGGGACATTATCAAATTTGCTTTAGAAGTCAACCTCCAGATGACACCAACGGTACACTCTTGAGAGTGTTCCTTCATGCAGTAAAAATGAAGCCCTGTTAGGTAAGTATGTTATATATATTATATATAAAAGGAGTTATGGAATGTGCCATATAGCATTTGTTCTCAAAGTGTCGCCTGGACTCAAAGTTTCAGCATCGCCCCACCCTACCCTGAATCAGAAATTCTAGGGTGAGGCTAGCGATTTGTTTTAGCAAGCCCTCCCTGGTGACTCAGTGCATGTCAGAGTCGGGAACCACTGCCATAAAGCACCTGCTTTCTGCTACAGGGCGCAGAGGTCAAGATAGATCAGTACATGACTGTGGAGTGTGATGAGGCTGCAGTCCAGGACAGGAAAGATTTTTTGGGGGGGGTCAAGGAGCTTTAGCCTCAGGTTACCTTCCTTTCTAACCCCACTTCCTCTGGCCCATGAGGCTATCTCTGTAAGTGGCATAAACACAAGGAACTAGTGTCACTGTGGTATGTTCTATGTATAAGGACAGTTTCATTTTCCCCCAGTCACACCTGGACTTGGTGTGAAAGTAACCCGCAGGAAGCCAACATGGATCCTAAACTTTTCTACCACAGATGCCTGAAGAATATACTAAGAATACTCAAAGGACTTGTTTTCTGTCAAGATCCTGAGCACCCATTCTCTGTTCTTTCAGAAACAGAAGCAGCTTGAGAATCCGCTCCTTCCCCATTCTCAGTCCTGTGAAAGTTGGGATGGGGGAGGGGTATACCCTCCTCTGGGGTCAGAGCACATGACACCAATGACACTGGCCTGGCCAGAGCCCTGTACCCACCCCCAGCACGCCTACTAGCTCCAGATTGATCCAAGCTGGTCTCTCAGGACTTCTGAAAGAGCTGTGAACAGAGGCCGGCTCTCTCCTGCTGAGTCTCCGGGTAGCTGTGAGGCTGAAACGGCAGCATCTACCTTACTTACCACCATCTTACTGCCATTCAGAGAAAGCAGAGCTGAACGCTGGAGAAAAACTGAGTACTGGCAACAGTTTTTGGGCTCTGAATATTGTTGTAACTGAAGCTCGAATCATCCCTGGACTTTTTAGCCAACGACATTTTCCTTTTTTGCTTGCCCTAATTTCAGCTAGCATTTTGATCATTTGAAAGGATCATAACTAATACGCTGCCCTTTTCTTCTCTTTCTTTCCTTCTTTGACAATTTTAAATTAGAAATCTATCTGCCTCTAATCTCTTCAATTCTCTCATTTATTTTATTTACTGCTGCCTAATTTTCCCCAAACACTGCTTTTCAAATATTCCTGGCTCAAAATCATCTCTCTCTTCATGACATATGAAACCTTTGGAATCTAGCCTTTTCTCAGCTTTCAGTATCTCCTAATTGATCTCTCAGTTCCAGTGAAACTGTCCCGTTTTTTCCCCCAAACACATTAAAAGTACTTCTAACTCTTGTGAGGTAATTATTTTCTTATTCTTCTCTACTTATATAAATCCCAATTTTTAAAATAAGGTCTAACTCAATACTGGCTCCACCAGGAAGCCTTCACTTGCTTCAACCGTATTCTCTGATTTCCATATTTTTGGCACTGGCATTTTTGGGATTATTTATCTTTCTACGTACATACATTATCTCCCTGATTAATATAATTGGGCAACATACCTAGACCCCATCTCAAAAAAAAAAAAAAACACAACAAAAAACCTGTAAAGTAATTCAGATCTTACCTTCAAATCAAGATGAACTACATCATGAGTATGTAAAAAGTGAACACCTTCTAGAATCTGTCGCATGAGTCTTTGAACATCTTTTTCTGTAAAGGCTTCGTCTCTGTCTGCAACGCACTGGTCAAAGATTTCACCCCCAGCAGCACTAGAGAGCAACAAAATTAAAGTAATACATAACTCATGAGAAAGGAAATGGTGAACACTCACAACAAAACTACAGAGTAAGTTGATGACAGCCTGGCAGTACTGGATACTATTAACATGGAATTTAAAACTTGAAGCAAAACACAGTAAGGGCTGAGCCAACTCGGTCCCAAGCAGCTAGACACGTGCTACGATGTAACACACACCCAACAAAGCCCTCTGCACAGACAGGCCACGGTGGGCCGCACTGAGATCTGTCTATGTGCCCCAACTGAAACAAAGAACTGTATTTTGGCTGAAAAAGTTTCTTAATCACAATCTATTGTCATCTGAGTCCCTCAGCTCATTACTACCATCTGCAACAAAATTCACCAGAGGTCAATTTACATAAATACAAAGATTTATCTAAAATTTAAGAGCAATTTCTTATTAGTCCTTTCCACTATGATGTTTACCCATTCTTATTTAACAAATGGTTTCCTCTCTTTTTTCCCAACAACTGTAGTTCACATAAGCATGAAATATATTGCTAACCATAGTTTTCTGAAAAATTTCAAGGATGTACTTTAAATACAGACTATTCCAAGAAGCTTTAAAAGCTAGTCTTGACGGATCATTAAGGCTACATTCCTCTCAGTACATGTGCAATCATGTATTACCCTGCTTAAATGTAAGTTTTACCCATTAACTAAACTGTCATATTAATTAATGGAACTAAATGTAATTTTACTAAAGAACAATCAGAGATGTTAAAAGCATGTCTCAAGTATGGTAAGAGAAAACATAAGAATATTAACAACTATTTCATACAAAGCGCTTGCCTTCATAGACTTAGAGAAGCTCTAAAATGGTTTTGCTGTGTCTATCTTAACTGTAGCAAGATTTCTGCAACTACATTTAACAAAAATTTTTATGCAAAAACTACTTTTGTAAAAATTAAGAACTTTAAAGTTTTAACTTTCTAGTGGCCCTTAGAAAGTTACAGGATGAGCACCTTTGACCAACATTATTCAGAGCCATATAACTGACGTTCAGAGGCTGAGAGTAACCAAGCTTCCGGGCTGCCTGCACATTGGCTAGACCGTAGCACCCAAGCTCAGACACCCAACACACCTCTGTCTACATAAACTAGCACTTTCATCTCCATCCTGCTTAGAGGCCCAGTTTGCATCTTTACTCCTTCAAATTTACTTTCAATTTTACTCATTCAAATTCAACAAGCATCAGTCAAATATGTCAGGCCCTATGCTATGTCCTAGAGATAGAAAGATAGAAGACAATTATGTCTGAGCCATCAAGCACTAGCTGGGGAGAGGAAAAGAAAAGATACTTTTTAATATCAAATACATACATATGTCTGAAATTATATATGAAGTGATTTGATAACTTAGCAATTGAGCAATTAATTGAAAAGGAAGGAGGAAAAAGGATCTTAGAAAGATGATATCTATTCAGGCCCATGAAGGCTAACTAGGAACCCACGTGAAATGGCAAGGGCACAATCCAGGCACAGTGAGCATGTGTGTATGGCCACATTAGTGTGAAAAATACATGGTGCATTCATTAAAGGATAAGCTGCTACTTCCCCTTCCAACGAAATGGTATGAAACTTGCCCTCCACTATAAACTAGAAAATTAGCAAAATATATGAATCAACTATTTTCAGACATGAGAACACCAGGCAGTGTAAGTAGATCCATGAGTCCGGAGAGGAGGGAAACAAACAAAGTGAGGTGAGCCCTCTTATCTCCCAGGCTTCCCACATGGAGGCAATTTATGGGCAGTGGTACAAGGTGGGGAAGGATCCCAAGCAGAATGCTGTGGCCATGGTAAATGGAGAAGACAGACTGGAGTTTGGCAAGGCTAAGGCAGTTGAAATTTGCAGGTAGAGCACTGGAGAGGAGGGAGGTACACAGAGAAAGATCTCCAGAAATCTCAGCAGCATTTTGGAGTCTTAGACCAAATGCTCACATGCACATGCACAGAGTGAAACTCTGCAAGATCAGGAAAAGCACTTCTACCCAGAAGAAGCTGAACGATTCCCAGTGTTCACAGAGGACAGGGTAAAACATTTGAATTTTCTCTAGTTTGAGTAGAAAAACCACTTCAAATACTTAGGGCAATCACCAGACCCTCCTCCACCCCAGGAAGGCCCTCCTCACTATTACAGCCAAACCAGCCCCAGACCTGCCCTGACAAAGTTGATCCACAAGTAATTTAACTGCCTGCCAAAACAAACCTCACCAATCTTTAATGGAATAAAATCAACTTAACACTGTACCATTCTAAACGTACAGCATTCTACCAAAGATTTCTAGCTGTCTGAAAATGCCACAATTATGACCCACAACTAACAGGCAAAACAACATAAACAGACCCAGAAACGACAGAGATAATGAAACTGGCAGATAAGGACTTCGGGTGTTAGAAAGATGTTCAATGATTTAAAGTAAAATATGAACATAACAAGGAGAGAGATGGAAGGTATAAAAGCAAATGGAAACTCTAGAGATGAAAAAATATAGTATCTAAAATGAAAAATTCACCAAATGGTCTTTATAGCAGATCAGATGCTACAGAAGAATCACTGACACAGCAATCAATAGAAACTATCCAATGGGAAGTGCAGAGATGGGGGAAAGACTGAACAAAACAAACAGGAACCTGTAGGACAGTACTGAGCAGCTTCACACACTGTAATTGGAGGAAAAAGAGAGGTGGGGGCAGGGAAATATTAGAAAACATAATGGCTGAAAAATAAAATAAATGGGGATACCAATGGAAATGGGAAACAAAAGCAAAACAGGCACTAAAAGGGCAATGCAGGAGTATCGATATTGAATTGATAGTGATTGGCAGTTGGATGCAGGTAAATGCAACGGGCAGCTGGAGCTCAGGAGAGGGGCTGAGGTTGGAGACGCAAATTTGGAAATAATCAGCATGTAAATAATAGCTGAAGCCACAACAACAGATTGTTATCATCCAGGGTAAATATATAAAACATAAATGTATGAGAACAGCAACACTGATGGAACTCTGGGGAACACTTTCCTTTATATAGCAGAACAGGGTAAAAAGCTCTGAGAGGAGAAGATTGAAAAAAAACACAACAACAGGGCTGTGAAAGCCAAGGAAGAAAAAAGGTATAATATCAAGTTTTTTTGAGACAGAGTCTCACTCTGTTGCCCAGGCTAGAGTGCTGTGGCATCAGCCTAGCTCACAGCAACCTCAAACTCCTGGGCTCAAGCAATCCTACTGCCTCAGCCTCCCGAGTAGCTGGGACTATAGGCATGTGCCACCATGCCCGGCTAATATTTTCTATATATTTTTAGTTGGCCAATTAATTTCTTTCTATTTATAGTAGAGACTGGGTCTCACTCTTGCTCAGGCTGGTTCTGAACTCCTACCTTGAGCGATCCTCCCACCTCGGCCTCCCAGAGTGCTAGGATTACAGGTGTGAGCCACTGCACCTGGCCCGATACCAAGTTTTTAAAGAGAGTAAGAAGTAGAGGGCTGGTGACCTCATGGAAGTTTCAGAAGAGCAGATGGCATCAGATTAAAGTGAATGGGGTGTTGGCACATGAACACATGAAGGATCAGTGAAGGAGAACAAAACTGACTGGAGGTGAGGAGAGTGGTAAATTCAGACAGTTCCTTTAAGAAGTACAGCAGTAAAGAAAAGAGAAAGGCAGGACAATAGTCTGGGAAAAGCCAAAGTTGAGGATAAGGAGCTTTAGGATAGAGAAGACAATCATTAGAAGAGGAAGGAAAGAACCACCAGAGGAGGGACTGAGACTCTGGAAGAGGTCATGTAACTGATTAAAAAACAAAACTGAGGTCCTAGAAGAGGGAGGACAAGAGTTAAAGAACTGAGATAGAAGTTTTAGCTTTGCAATCGAGTAGTTGAATCTCCTCCTTCAGCAGCAGGGAAGGGCCTGACAGCAGTAAAGACAGAGCTATTGGGGGAGGAGCCCAGGGAGTGTGTGTCCGATGGCTTTAATTCCTCCACAAAGGGGAGAAAAGGCCAGGTGTCTAGTAAAAGGTGGGCAGCAGGAGACACAGGGTGGTAGGTATCGATTAATTCCTGAAGTGTGGCACTCAAAGGACATGAGAGATTAGGGGAAGAACTGCCAAGCTATCCCATGAGCCCAGCTGAGGACTGAACTCTTGTGCTAAGCAGATCAAAAACACTTCAAGTGCTTCCCAGAATGTGTGGCAGCACAGGACACCCAGCATGTATTCCAGGTTTCAAACTGGTCAATGAGTTGCAGAGGAAGACCAAGAGGAAGAGGGAAATTATGTGAGGTGCTGGTGAGAGATCAGTAGAGATCTCTAAAGAGAAAGAAAGAAGAGGGAAGAAAAACAGTCAGGAGCTGGCTAAAAGAATGGAAGAACTGAGAAGAGTCCAAGGATTAAAGGCTGAAGAGCAGGTTTTGCAAGAATGGGAGACAAAGGAGGAGATTTTGGTCAGAGAATATTTCAGGGGGTCTTTTCTAGATTGATTATTATTTTTTTTTTTGAGACAGAGTCTCACTTTGTTGCCCAGGCTAGAGTGAGTGCCATGGCGTCAGCCTAGCTCACAGCAACCTCAAACTCCTGGGCTCAAGCAATCTTACTTCTTCAGCCTCCCTAGCAGCTGGGACTACAGGTGTGCATCACCATACCTGGCTAATTTTTCTATTTTTAGTAGAGATGGGGGTCTCACTCTTGCTCGGGCTGGCCTAGAACTCCTGAGTTCAAGTGATCCTCCTGCCTCAGCCTCTCAGAGTGTTAGGATTACAGGTGTGAGTCACCACACCAGGCCAACATTATGACTTATTTAACCAACTCCTTTCTAATAAACATTTAGATTATTTCTACCTTTTTGCTACATAGGTAATGCTATAATGAACATTTTGGTAACATATCTTTGCAAAATTGCCTGATATTTCCTCATGAAAAAAATGTATAAAAGTGAAATTGCTAGGTTAAAGACTTCATGTTTTTTTAATTTTTTTTTTTTTTTTAAATTTCTTTGCTGAGGCAGGATCTCACTATGTTTGTCCAGGCTGGCCTTGAACTCTTGGGCTCAAGCAATCTGCTCAACTCAGTCTCCCAAAAATCTGGAATTATAGGCATAAGCCACCACCCCCAGTCCTTAAGGCTCTTGATACATACTTCAGATTATCCTACAGTAAAGTTGTACCACTTAATATTGCCACTGGTATAAATAAGATGGTTCAATCAATGAATATTACTTTTATTATTTTTGCCAATCTGATATGGGGAAATTGACCACTTATTTACATTACAAAAATTGTAACAATATTTTCATGTGTTTATAGGCAACTTATATTCATGTATATGTCTGTGATGGTTTTTTTTCTTCATATTCTTTGTCCAATTTTTTAAAACCACTGCTGAACACAATCCTGGATGCCATAATGCCTGAATGTTGAAATCCCAAAAGATCAAAAATCCCTAAAATCATAATCCTGAATGATTAAAATCTTGAATGTTGAAATCCTAAAAGCTGAATTTCTAGGGAAAGGGAAATGGTATGTTTTCAGGTGTACGCAGGCGGGTGCACCATGGTAGCTGTAGCTGCATCATGTGAGGCAGAACTATTGTCTTGTTATTGTCTTTATTTGGATATTTAGTAAAGTTTAAAGGAGACTTGTAAAGGTGCCAAGTTCACAAGGGGTTGGATTAAGAAATACCTAGAAACTTGGTAGAACATTAATTTGGGTGTGTCTGTGTGTTTCCAGAGGAGATTACTGTGAGTCTGAGAGAACTAGGCAGGGAAGATCTGCCCTCCAAGTTGGCAGGCTGAACCATCTAATCAGCTGGAGGCACAGAGAGAACAAATGCAGAAAGTGAACTGGATGCTTTGAGAGCTGGGACAGACTTCTCATTCTGCCTCGAACATCAGAACTCCAAGCGTGCCTGTCTTTGAACTCCAGGATTTACCCGTCCCCATGCCAGGTCCTGAGGCTTTGGCCTTGGATTCAAAGTTATATCATCAGCTTCCCTGGTTCTGAGGACTTCACACTTGGACTAAGAAATGCCATCAGCATCCCAGCGCCTCCAGCTTGCAGATGGGCTGTTATGGGACTTCTCAGCCACCATAAGTGTGTGAGCCAATTCCCTTACTAAATCCCCTGCCGTATTTATGCTACTAGTTCTGTCTCTCTGAAGAAATCTGACTAATAAATATTTGGTATTGGGCAAGCACAATATCAGTATATTCCTTAGAAAACAAAGGGAGAGATTTGTCAAATTGTCCCCTTGCAAAAAGGTTGTGATTAAGTCAAGCCTATGAGACTACTTGATGGTGAAAGATAAAAGTTTAAAAGCTAATTATTACTAGTGCATTGAAAGTAGAAAATCATTTAATTGCAATGGCCAAACAATAACCAGACTTTTAAATGGACAATATATACTTACAAAATTTGTAGACCACAACCACTCTCCAAATACAAGTGCAGTGAGTGTTTTGAAGATTACACAAGTTAAATGCAGGCACATTTCACAATTATTCAGTCATGTAAACTTCTGTGCCTTTACACAGAGCACCAATTCACTATGGTATTCATTTCACCTTCACATCATTTCCAATACTGGAGGATAAATTATGTGAAAACTTTTAGAAAGTTCTATTTTATGCGCTTTGCCAATTTGACTCCACGGAAGTACATTAACAAAATGCTGACTTTGTGTGTAAGCACTGTGTATGTAAAAACATTGACGCTTCCTCAAATAAATGAGGAACCTGCATTTGTGAAAGATAAAATTTCTCAAGATCTTGGCTCTCTGGTTTTTGATCAATCTCATGAAAAGACTTATGTTGTCTGTCACAGTATTTCAAATGACTATAGTTATAAAGCTGGGTGAATACAATTATCAACCATAGTGATATGCGTTTATACAGTTCACTTTCTGACCTATTTCTTACAAATACAGTTCAACTGCTCGTAACTGTTATATTTGATAGTATAGTTGATAGTGTACACTTCTTTTACAGACTCGGTATACCTGAGTGCTTATGCTTGTAAAAGTATGTTATTATTGCCTATTTTTTTTTTTTTTAAAGACAGAGTCTCACTTTGTTGCCCAGGCTAGAGTGAGTGCCATGGCGTCAGCCTAGCTCACAGTGACCTCAGACTCCTGGGCTCAAGTGATCCTGCTGCCTCAGCCTCCCGAGTAGCTAGGACTACAGGCATGCGCCACCATGCCTGGCTAATTTTTTCTATATATATTTTTTAGTTGATCGATTAATTTCTTTCTATTTTTAGTAGAGACGGGGTCTCACTCAGGCTGGTTTCAAACTCCTGACCTTGAGCAATCCGCCTGCCCTCGGCCTCCCAGAGTGCTAGGATTACAGGCGTGAGCTACCGCGGCCGGCCTATTATTGCCTATTTTACTGTGTCAAGTAGATAGGAAGTATTCTGTCATGTTTTAAAAAATTTTTTATTTACTTTAATTGATCTATAATAGCTGTACATATTTATAGGGTATATAATGATTTTTATGTTTTCAAATCCCCCTTTAAAAATGTAAATAAATGTCATTCAAAGAATTTTTAAAATTACTTTTTACAGAATTATGTTTTTTGGGATTTTGATCTTTTGGGATTTCAAAATTCAGGATTATGTCTTTTAGGATTATAGCCCAAACTCTTCTTAAACTGGGAAGTTCAGGTTATTGTATATATTTGTAAGATCTATATATTAAAGAAATTATAATTGTTTTGGCTGAAAGGATATTAGAGCTATTTTTCTCTGAGTTTGTCTTTTCATTTTGTTTATGTTTATTGATGTATTAAGGCTTTCAATGTATTCAGATCTATCAATCTTTTCCTTTGGCAGAAGCAGAGAGGAAACCAGGATTTCTTAAGGAGATAAAGAACTGTCCTTTGTTTTCCAAAGCATTTTTCTGTGTTGTATCTACTTACTCAAATAGAAAACATGGTAAGAATCAAGACTACTATTTCTAAAAAGAAAGGGATTAACTCGGACTATAAGAACATGTAAGGGATTACAAAATGCCTTTTATTTTAATATTTTGATATTACTTACCTTGTTAAGAATGCCTCTAATAAAAACATAAGAGAACTTTTTACCCTATCATGAGAATTTCATCAAGGAATGAAAATGAAAAAGCTAACATACATGAACCCTTGCAAATTTTGGACATGTCAAATTAATAAGAATAACACATGAAGATCTGGAAAACCCTCAGATTTCCAGAGAACCGGGCCCTGCAACATTATTACAAATGAGTGATATCCCATAAAGGAAGTGTAGACTATCAAATACACTTATAGACTAAAGAAGATGATACTTACTATTCCAGAACTAGGATCATTTCTGACGAAGTCTCATAAACTTCATGTAAATTAATGACCCAAGGATTGTCCTGTGCTAGTTCGAGTACAGCAATCTCATGAATTATTTCCATCCGACAGTCTTGGCCTTTTCTTCTTTTTCTCATGAACTTTGCTGCAAATTCTTTCCCAGAATCTTTCTTTATACATTTCCTCACCACTGCAAATTTCCCCCTAGAATTAAACAAAAATATTCGCTGTTAAAGTTGATAACTTTCCAGAGATGGTAAATTTTAATGAAATATCAAAATACTCACTGGTAGATATTCAAATTTAGCTCTATACAATCACAGAAGTAGCCATATCACTTAGAAACTTATATAGGCTACATCTATAGATTAAATATCTATAAAATTAATTTTTCTAAATAGGAAATAACCAAATGTTAAAGTCAATATCTTTTGCAGAGTTATACAAAAAATAACCTGGTTAACCTTTTGCACATTTATACATGAAATGATTTAAATCTTTAAAAAAGTCATTTTATTTTTTAATATAAATTGGTCACAAGAATTCCTAATATAATAAATTTCACTGTCACTAATTAACTCTAAAGAACATTATCACCTTGTGAAATTATAAAAGTTATCATTCTAACTACAACATTAGCTGAAAATCTTGTTTTTCTACACAGATAGATACAATAAGCATTAGCTTAATACACTACAATTTTCAGTTTCATTACAACAAGCATTAGCTTAATACACTACAATTTTCAGTTTCAATGAAACTGATAAGCAGGTCAAACAGGGGTACTGGTATAGCATATTGATCAAAGGTATGAGTTCTGGAACTAGACTTATTCGGGCTTGAATTCCATAATCTTAGGCAATTTATTTAACCTCTTTAAGTCTCATTTTTCTTATCTGTATAGGGACATAAATGGTATCTATCACAAGACTGTGAGAATTACAGTATATAGAACATGTCAATTGCTTAGCATGGTACTTAACATACAGTAAGTGCTCAATAAAATACTACTAATCAGACAAATCATTACGTTGTGATAGTCAACATTCATAAATATCCACTGAATCCTTAGGTTGGAAAGAAACTTAGAAATCATATAGTTTTCTTCTAAGATTCAGAAGCCAAGGAAGGTGGAAAAAAATCACTTTTTTTTTTTAAACCTAACCACCAAATGTCAATGTCTTATTTCAAACTATGAGGTAATCTCTTCTATTCCTGGGTACATATTATTTTGAAATAAGATTTTCATTAAACCTGACTTCAACTGAAGGGCTGCAGTCTGGGTTCTATGCTGAGCAGTACAGAACAGACCCCACTCTCTTTTCCACAACAGTCTTGACGATACTGAACAAAGTGAACCCAATCTGTTAGCTGCCACTTCCTCTTCTCTTTCCCAATGTCCCGATTCCTCATCCCCATGAGGTTTTTTGACCCCCTCACTATTAAGGCTCATAAGAAAATGTGCCAACCAAATGTGAAGCAACTACTCCAGGTATAATCTGATCAAAGTGTTGCATCATTATTTTATTGATCTTGGCACAAAATAACTTAATATTGCCTGTTAAAAAACCTGACAGGTTTTTCATATTTTATATTGGACTGGTAAATAAATTACGTAGATTTTTTCTTCTTGAATTTTTGTCAAGTCAGTATTTTTATACTGACTATATCTATATATCTATATCTATATATGTATGGTTTTTTTGAGACAAAGTCTCACTCTATTGCCCAGGCTAGAGTGAGTGCTGTGGCATCGGCCTAGCTCACAGCAACCTCAAACTCCTGGGCTCAAGCAATCCTTCCGCCTCAGCCTCCTGAGTAGTGGGACTACAGGCATCCATCATGATGCCTGGGTAATTTTTTTCTATACATTTTTTAGTTGGCCAATTAATTTCTTTCTATTTTTAGTAGAGACAGGGTCTTGCTCTTGCTCAGGCTAGTTTCAAACTCCTGACCTTGAGAGATCCTCTCACTTCGGGCTCCCAGAGTGCTAGGATTACAGGCGTGAGCCACCACGCCCAGCCTATACTGACTATATTTTAAAAATGCTTTCTAAAAAATTAAATACAAGGCTTTAATTTGCCCTGTTAAAGTTCTAACTTCTGGGTTTTGGTAGCATTCTAGACTACTGGCATAATTTTGAGTACTAATTCTTCCCTATTTTTAACTACAAATATGATTATCGTGCCCTCTATGTTTTTGTTATCATTAGTAATAAAAATGTGGAATGACAAATATCCCTAGGCACAGCCCTATAGCTGTTCAATTTGGTAACACTCTACCTAATAGCATCCTTATTCAAATTCTTTTATTCATAGAAATATGAAAGACTTCTACAGATACTGGATACTATCTGTTTTTATATTTTATGTTATTTTAACTATAAGCAAATTCATCAAAGACTAATACCACCTTTTATTCTACCCCACAAAATCATTAGGCTAATATCTCCATCAGGTTTTAAAAGATGCCCAATGATCTTTGGATTCTTCTAAGAAAAAAAATCTTAATAATCTGATTTTTTCATACATGTCAGAAGCTTTAAAAGAGAAAGTTTAATTTGTAAAAAACTGATCTGAAGCCTCAACATATAATTGACAGTGAACACGTTCCTCGTAAATTAGAAATGACTCAGTTGAATGGCCCTCTGAGCACTCCCACATCAAACACACAAATGTTTACTGTTGCCACACCTAAAATTCAAAGCAACACAGTACTGCAAAGTAAAATACTACTTATTATCTAGCCTGAAAGTATATTTTTGAAGACCAGATGTGAAAGACAAGTGACGCAGCAAACAGAGAACTGGACTCACACACGGCTAACCTGTGAACTCTGGGAACCCTGTTCCAGAACAGCCCCTGCTAAATTCTGGGGCCCGTTCCCCACACTTATCGTGTCTGCCACCTCACTCCTCACCCATTCCTGAGGTGCCAGGATGCAGTTCCCACGGCTCTCCTTTCATACTGATGACTACTCTGACACCACCTTTGTTTCTGTGGAAGCAACCCTCACAGCTTCAGGTTTCTTCTTTCCTTTCCATTGTACCATACACTGTACTGGGGGTCAGCAAATGTGTCTGTAAAAGGCAAGACTGGTCTCTGGGGCAACTATGTAAGCCCACTGCAGCAGAGCAAAAGCAGCCACAGACAAAAGGTAAGTGAATGGGTGTGGCTGGGTTCCGAGAAAACTTTAATGGACATGGTGACTTGAATTCCCTGATTTTCATCTCATTACATATTACGTTTATTCTGATTTTTTCAACAATTTAAAATACAAAAAAACATTACTAGCTTGTGAGCCGTACAAAACTAGGTAGCTGGGTATAGTTTGCTGGCCCCTGCACTATCCCACACTGAAAACTCTTCCATTGTTCTAATGCCGCACACTACTGACAGGGAGACAGCGGGTCACAGTGACTGTAGGAAACATGTATGCCTTCGTCTCTAGATGATTGGTGTAATGAGAGGGGGACCTTTACCACCACTTGAGGAGAGGTCAGGAGACAGATTTCTGAGAGCTGTTCTTCCTATAGAGCCACACCATACAAAGAAACATGAGATTCAGCTTTCAAGGTACAGAGTCCCAGGGAACAGACACAGAATTGTATTCATACAGAGTTCCCTAAATTCCATACCTCAAAAGAGTTCCAATATGCATATGTTGGGCTGGTATGGTGGCTCATGCCTGTAATCTCAGCACTTTGGAAGGCCCAGGAGGGAGGATCACTCAAGGCTAGGCATTCGAGACCAACATGGGTAACTTAGTAAGACCCCATGTCTGAAAAAAAAAATTAGCCAGGCGCAGTGGCCCATACCTGTAGTCCCAGCTATTCAGCAAACTGAGGTAGGAGGATTGCTTGAGCCTGGGAACTCGAGGCTGCAGTGAGCTATGACTGCACCACTGCACTCTAGCCTGGCAACAGAGTGAGACCCCATCTCTATTTAAAAAAAAATGGATACTTTACTATGGCTTTAAGGTAAAAAATTATGACTGTATCTCAATCTTTAACTTTAGGTTATTGAGGCCTCTGTAAAACATTTGAAAAATGATGTTTTTCTGACACCAGGGGCCACAGTTATATACAGAGATGTGGCACTGAGAGTCTCAAAGGGCCTAAGATGTTGGTTGTACATCTATTTCTTTGTTGACTTAAAAGCCAAACTTCTTCCTGGAATACATAGTTTTTTTTTTTTTTTTTTTGAGACAGAGTCTCGCTTTGTTGCTTAGGTTAGAGTGAGTGCCGTGGCATCAGCCTAGCTCACAGTGACCTCAGACTCCTGGGCTCAAGTGATCCTTCTGCCTCAGCCGCCCGAGTAGCTGGGACTACAGGCATGCGCCACCATGCCCGGCTAATTTTTTTTTTATATATATATTAGTTGGCCAATTAATTTCTTTCTATTTATAGTAGAGACGGGGTCTCACTCTTGCTCAGGCTGGTTTCGAACTCCTGACCTCGAGCAATCCGCCCCCCTCGGCCTCCCAGAGAGCTAGGATTACAGGCGTGAGCCACTACGCCCGGCCTGGAATACATTCATTTCACAAACATCTATAGTTTATTATTACGTACAAAACTGAGAACTCAAGTTTTCATTAAATAGTTTGGGATGAATGTCAGAAATGAATACATTTCAGAACTACTCAAGGAAAGTATATTTCAGAGTGGTAGGAAAGGGAAGATACATGAACAATTATAACAATGGGAAAAGATGTTTTAATTGGGCCCACCAATCCAAGCTCCCTAAGAACAAGAACCAAATTTCATTCATTTTTGCATTACCAGTGCTTAACAAGAGCTCAGGAAGGTATGGTGAGCATCTCAGATGGGTATAACTTGCTAAGGAAGTGGGCTTTACCAGGTTTAAAATGGGTACTATTAGAATTCTTAAGGTAATTGTTTAAAAAAGATAATTCTGATAGTACTGTGAAGAGTGGTTGCCAAGTGATAACTAGAAACAGGGAGACAAAATAATTCAAGTCAATGGGCCTGAACTCAAGTAGCAGCTGTAGAGCCTGGGAAGAGAGAATACAGGTAAAAGACATTCAAGGTCAAGATTCAAGGTCAGTGCTCTGCTTGCCTGAGTTGTAGGCAGAGATGGGGGGTGGAGACAGGAAAGGTGGAAGTCAAGGACAACTTCTAGATTTTTAATATGGGTACTATGTAATATCCACTGAGATAAAGATTATAAAAATCGTAACAGATT